TGCAGACACAACGAGAGCAGAAAATAGATGCATCTACTGGAGTGTGACATTTGGCTAGGGCCCGAGTGTCCCACTTCTAAGAGAACCCAAAGGACAGCTTTTAACCATGGCTCCTGGGCCTGACAGGGAGAGAGGGTTAAAGACAGATAAAGAAGGGGGATCACAAGGATTTGCTTCCATTTTCTTTTTGTTATTCTAATATCTTGTCTAAGTAACATTGTATGGGCCACAGAGTGCAATGAGGCTCAGAAAGAAGGTACTCCTATCGTCCCTTGAGCTATAGGGTAACATGTGCAATACAGGTTTGGTGGTACGTGACTTGGACTGTCTTTGTTTATGACTGAAAAGACAGAAAATGCACATCTGGACAAGTAAAGGTAGGATCTTATGGCTCAGTGGTGGTGCAGTGTGAAGAGACAACGCCCTAATGTCAGTGAAGTGTGGACAGTTGAATGTAATTTAGCATGCAGGACTGGAGATAAAACAATTCACTCCAGGGCAAGAGTGTTAATAGGAAACTCAAGATGGCCATCATTATCTTTAGCCTCATTCATCTCATCGCCATCATCATTAACTCCATCCCTCTTTCACTGTATTTGACATAACATGCTAAAACATCTCTCTGGAGCTTAGCTGGGTCTCACACCAGGGAGAAACACTGTTTCGGCAGACATACCCCATGAGAGGGGAAGTGTGCGTCACCGTCTTCTCTTTATTCCAGCACCTCCCAGGTCCTTTTCTTTTCTCTTCCGCTTAAACTCATCCACATTTTAATATCAGTCTCCATGGACTCCATTAGTGCAACACTTCTCAGAGAGTGTTAATTTGTTTTGTCAAAAGCTTTGTTTATCCCAGAGTAATATCTCAATAAACAGAGGAGGGTTGCACCGTGGTAAATGATAGTGATTATATTGTAGAAGGTCTAGAGCCCACGCTGTCGGACAGAGTCTCACACAATGGGAGTTGCACCGCCATTCAAAGCCCTCCAAACCTCTGATTACAATAATAACTCTGTGGGTGCTAATTTACAGCAGTGTACAGACTCTCCTCCATTGTCTTGTTTTCTTTCTCTGTTTGCAAATGTTTAATACAACTCTCTTTCCATGCCAGTGGCAATGCTGACATCTGTGTGCTTAAGTAATTATGTGGGAGGATGTTTGAAAGATGGCATGCCCAACCTTAAGAACAGTCCTGTTTCACCCTTGTAGCTTAGTGTGAGAGGAGTCAGCTATGAGATCGATCAGTCTATCACAGGACAACAGCACGAGCCCGACAACAGGCTGCTCACTTGCAGCCGACTGTTTCACATATCTTCAACACACACACATATATCTACAGTATATATAGAGATTTACATGATGGGAGGTGAAGGTTTTGTTGACTAGGAGATGGAGGAGATAGTCCTGCTACTTTGTTTTAGTTAACTTTTTGTATGTGCTCATTTTCTGTTTAAAAAACGGTCAAGCTAGTATGTCATTCCTGTTCATTCATGAAAGCAAATCAATTATTAGAAGAACAATATTAATGTGACTGGAGGTTATTGTGGGATATAAACAATGATTCTTTAAAAAGAAATGTGAAAATGAATCCACTGGCGCATTAGCTAATTAAAGCACGACTTTATGAGTGCTTGCAAATGCGACAAGATTTTCCTAACGACATTTTTAAGAAGCGAATATCAACAATGACAAAAGTAGCACTATTTTGTTATTGATTTTTTTGTTATTTGTCCTTATGGCTATGATACAGAACTTTTAATGTTGTTACTGAAAATATATAGGGTTGTGCTGAAGATTTTGGTCTTTGCTGAAAGTGTCCATGGAGCTGTGCCAGCATTGAAAGACATAGAGTATCTTTGATTCACAGGAAAGGATAAAAAACGCAGAGCTTTCGAGTGGAATTAGGCTTTCAAACCTGCCTCATTTTCATTGAAATCCTCATTCAAAACCAAAACACATCTTTAACTCTCTGATTTATATGAAATACATTTTCTCCAATATGTTTATCATTGACCTGAAAAAGACATGGATCGGGTTTTTATTTTTTTAGTATCTACCTAATTTGTTATTTTTTATTTGACTTATCTGTCTGTTTTTTCCACTAATTACACTGTTTATGAGAGTGTGAAGAGGCTGAACTGTGCCTACATGTGCCTGTTGATGGCTTTAGTCGTCTCCATCCATGATCGGCCCAAGAGTTGCAGCCCCTGTGTCCGTTAGATAAGAGCTGGCTATTTCAGGTTTGAAAAGGATATTCTGCTTCAGCTACAGGCTGTGTTCGGTACACAACCAGTCAACTCTCTGGAGTTAACAGATTTAAAGGTGTGGCGCCAGGCACGTGTTATTTAGCTCGGCCCAGTCAAATCTAGTCAGTATTAAACGTTCCTAAATGGAATCCGATCATTTGTTTCTGGTGGTTTTACGTAGCAGGTTAAAGTAGAAATGAGCACTAACGTTGTGCCTGTTGGATACTACATATAGCACCGTTTATCAAGCTTTCTGTGCTTTTTCTATATGGATTATTTATCATGTACTGCTGAGACATTTGTAAACTGAGGTAAATATGATACGTTGATTCTGTTACTGGTTTTTATTTGATTTTTTCTTTCGCACTCATTGCTTTGACAGCAGTCTGGGCCAAAGGGGGGTGGTTTTTCTGTGAGTGTTTCCATCACTGTAGGTCAGAGCGACCTTGTATCAGCACATATTAATAAAAAACTATTGAAAACAAACCCTGGTGTTGTTTAAGGGTTTCTCTGGGATTGTCTTGAAGGTTGAAATGGTTGGGCCTTAGTGTGTGTGTTTATGTGTGAGTCGATGCACATTGGGCTGCACTATAATTGTTCTTGTGTATGTGCCAGTGTGATAAAGAAATAGAGAGAAGTATTATTAATCTTCTGCCATTCTATATGCATATTTACTTGAAAGATACCGAAAACAAAATTCAAACTGAAAAATGAAAGGATATCTTTAAATACTAATACAGTGGTTATGTTTTATTCATCCCCATTTGGGATGCTCGCAACTATATGTGCCGTTCATTTGAGCCCTTGAGAGGCAGTGTACTGAAGCCAAGCAGCCCAGTTCTTCCCCGAGTAAGCTCCCCTTTGAGCCACACAGTTTGCATATACACATTTGACCTGGTGGTCAGAACAATGGTTTAGTCAAACATAGCCTATTTAAGCTATGCAAAGTAGTCAAAGAGATAAAGAGAAAAGCAATCCGTCTGTTTTTGCAAAAAATATCAGTGAGATTTTTATTTGGACAGACTAAAAAAATGCCTTTGAACACCTAAAGGTAGTAAAAGACTGTTTCTCTGCTATGCTACAGCAAGGCTCTATTCCGCCACAATAACACTGAGCGGGTATTACCAAGACTGATTGCAGTGTTATGGTGTTGTATGCATGTTTGAGTACATGCACACCCGTGGACATAATTGCACTGTTGTTTGGCTTTCTAAAGTATCAGTCAAGGTTAATTAATCATACTGTGTGGTAGGATCCCCGATGTAATCTTTTAATAACTGTAGCATGAGTATAGATTGCAGATTTCTCAGTGCAACATCATTTTCTCGCCGCTGTCTTGCAAGCCACAGCAGCACATAACAGCACACTCAAAAATTAACATAAAATTGTGATCGGCTTGATGAGTTAGGTAGTATCTTTGGTTTGGAGCCAATTGTAGCTTCCTTTAAACAGCAACCGTGATGTTTTATTAGCGTTCTGATTTCACTTTACTTTCATTTCAGTTTAATTTTGTCAAATTTTTGGTGTGAATATAAACACATGCAACACACAAAGGGAATAAAGCGCTCAAACGTTGAGACTTCCAGCAAATGTCATTTGACGTATCATATATATCTAGTTTTCCCATCTCAAACCATATGATAAACATTTTCAATGACGTACAATGACTCACCCATCCGCCCCATCCACCCATCAGCTTGTTCATGCCCTTTCCATGAAACTCTCTGAGAGACGAGCCTCACAGGCATTGACCATTCAATCACCCTCTTTTCAGCGGTGGTACAGTAACACTTTCATGCACAAGCGTATCAGACATGAGCAGCAAAGTCTGTGACCCCAGCCACTCTCACTTTCTGACATGTAGTCCATTTGAGAGTTAAAATAAAGGGCTTTTTCAAGGTCACTGCACATTTAGGGGAAGCTCAAAATAGAGTCGGACATTGACAAACCAGGACCCGCAGCAACTGTCAGCAGATCCCGAGAGATAGAGAAGAGACGTATTAAGTTCCCTATGAACCCCAATGTGTTTGTGTATTACTGTAATTACTACCATACATCAAGCTCCGGGAACAACTGATCTTTTGAAGTGCTGTAGCAAACAGTATTTAACACTTAAAGTCCCAAATGATATGCAGTGTACTTACCAAGATAACAGCAACGCATCTACCCAAATCCTGCAGTGCCTCACCGACTCATTCAAACAAAGACATTTTTTCAGTTCCTCCATATGTGACTGTTGCAGTCTGAAATGCAAATGCATTTACTGCATTTGCATTACTCAATAAATATAGTGAAATATATTATCATATCCTTGTGTTGCACGGCACAATTCAACTATAACAGTTTACTGCCCCCTTATGGTATAAATAAGAAAAGTGTTCCATTCAAATTCAAACCAAGAGGACAAGAAGTAGGATTTCCAGGACAAAGAAAATTTATTTCAGACATGAAAGGCAAGCATTCATCAACACTCATGTATAATCATTGAAGCTGACAAGCAACTACAATTAACAATGAATTAAAAATGAATTTTGGAAAAAGTAAATGCAGACATGGTACAATAAAGAAAAATATTGTCTAGATGGTATTAAGGGTGTTTTCAAATCACAAGAAATATTAAATTCAAGAAAGGATAATTCATTGCATCATTATTACATTAGCAAATTATGGAATATTTACACAATATTGTCTAGGTCAAGAAGTTTTCAAAAAGAGGGATCTAAATTGGTATCTTTAATGTTTGTGAAGCCGAAGAATAGCTTACACATATTAAGGGCACTCAAATTTTACTCTATTTTTCCTTAGTTGAAACCTAATAAATACTTGCAGACAAGTTTTATATTTAGCCAAATCCAGACATGTAAGCAATATGTTGCACTCTTAGCTAATTTCCCAAGTGTGTGAAGTAAAAGAAACACGTCCATGATTATTTAAGAACCCAGGAATTAAGTCCAATTATCCAAAAAGATGAAGTGAGAGGCCAAACTATCTGATCAAAAGCATCATAGTAGACCCCATGTGTACATATAGCACATATATAACACATTTTGCCATACGCACAGTTATATTTGTACGTATAAATATTTTATAGTGTGTGGTACTTTTTCTGGCATGTTTGGTTCACCCAGCCTGTGGTTAAGCCAAGCCATCAATATTTTCAGAAAAAAACTTCATATATTTGAACAAATGTGGTCGGACCACAATGAGCCTTAGGTCCCAAGACCATACAGCTATTCTGTTCCTACCTCAAGCAATGCTGTCATTTGGTAAATTGCTCTAGAAAGACATTCCAAACCATTCAGTATGTCATCCAATTAGTTGTGCTGACTGGTCATATCATACACCTCTTTAATGAAAGATTTCCCAATTTTCCATGAAAATTGATATCAAATTTATGTTTTATAGTCTGCACATTTGACTTAAAATAAGAAACGTAATAAAGAGATTATTCTGAAACATTGCTTAACTTGAACATGGCAGAAAGTGTACCACACACTGAAACTATGATAACATTCTAAAACACACATTATTATTATTATTATTATTATTATTATTATTATTATTATTATTATTATTATTATTATTATTATTATTATTATTATTATTATTATTATTATTATTATTAT